GGGAGGGAGGAAGGAAGGAAGGAAGGAAGGAAGGAAGGTAGGAAGGAAGGAAGGAAGGAGGGAAGGAAGAAAGGAATAAAGGAAGAAAAGAAAAGAAAAAAAAAGAAAAGAAAAGAGAAAAGAAGGGCAAAGGGCGGGCAAAGGGCAGGGGAAGGATGGGCCGGGGAGATGGCTCAGTAGAATAAGCACTTCCCTGGCAAGTGCAAGGGCCTGAGTTTAATCCCTGGTTCCTCAAAAAAAAAAAAAAAAAAAGGAACAAAGAAAGATAGATAGATAGATCCACTTCCTCCATGGGACACATATCCTAAGACTGAAAATGAATACTGTAAGTAGAGGGACACTGAACATAGTTTCTTATAATTCTCAAAAGCATTTTATTATAGATCCACACTTAGGGGAACAATTCTTTATCTCATTTAAACACCTGCCCTCTAACGTTGGGAGAACACATGAACTATTAACCTAGCCTAGAGCATTTTTTTCCTCCTAGTGCTACAGACCTTTCCTCCCTAACCAACCTTTGAATGAGGAATGTCAGCACTATCTACATACACAGTGGCAGATACAGGGAAATATGCCTCTCTATCTTTTCATCTTCTTATCTTTTGTTTCTTTCCATTTGTAGAATGCCAAAGCAAAGGAACATGATTTATCTGAGCCTTAAGAGTCAATCCTTCTCCAAATAACAGTTTGTTGAAGATCAGTAAGAGCAGATTACTTCCATTCACTCTGTCTCTATTAATCCTTGAAGTCTAACTCCAAACAAAAGCACTATTCCACTGCTGTGGAGCAGAACTCAGACCTTAGACAAAGAACTTGTACTAGTAACACAAAAGCTGTCATCTTTTTCTCTTAATTCAAGGGAAAAGGTATTAAGAAAAATCCTATGTTATTCACAACCCTTAAGCTACTCATAACCTTGACTTTTGTTAGATGGTGTGTCTAGAAAGTTATAGTAATACCTCCCTTAAAGCTCTTCATGTATAAGACAAATTTTCTGATTATTGTTCTGACATTAGGATAATGTACACAGTAAGACAATTCACATACTTCCAAAATCTACAGGGGAAACACACCCCTTATGTTAGGGATAGAGAAAAAGTGTCAGCTTTTAAAAACCCAGACATGTGCTTGTTCTGACATATGGTTGTGGCACCAGGTGAAATTTGTCCCCACCTGGACCATTCCTAGCCTTATCTTCTTCAGCTTCACAGTACTTCAATGAAAATAATGTACTCTTCTGGAGACTGAAGTTTTTCCCATTTCTGTTCTTACTTGTTCTGTGGTTTGAGTCAAGGTACTTACTACCTGTGGAGCAGTCTCACGAGCTATATTGCCTGGCAACACTATAGTTAGGAGAAAACTGAAAAAGAATAATTACCAAATCACTGTTTTGGTTTTCCACATACTTTGATGACTCTTGGAAGTACCTCACTCAACTGCCTTTTGATTTGGGTGCTTACAGTAGGTCAAGTATAAGACAGCACAGTCAGAACACTGCAGCTATGTTCTCATAATTGTAAAGAGAAAGATTTACTTCTATTATGGAATCACCCACCTCTATATTAGAAAAATCTTATTTAATATAAATGAAAGGTCAAGGGTAAGTGGGCTGTAAGTGGATAAGTAAGTTTTGAATAAAACTGCCATCTAACTTCTGCAGTCTGTGAAATTCTTCTTTAAGTGAATAAATGTGTAGAGCAACTCTCTATTACATTGTTCAGCACTGAACACCAACCTGACACTTAGAATTAAATTAAGAGAAACAAAACTGGATACTTTGAGACTTGAGGGCTAATTATACTGCTAGAGCTAAAAGTGGATTTAAGCTCTTCCCTTATCCCACTTAAATCTAACTAGATATAATCTCTCCATTACTAAAGAGTAGAGGTGTGTGTGCAGAGGTAGAGGTTCCCCTTGATGTTCTTGGACAAGGAAATCTAATCCTTTTCCCTGACACACATGGTTGCAATAGAAACCGTTCCTCAACGGCCAGTCTGGTTTTAATCTGTTCTTTCTAGCAAGAGAGGATTTGCAGAGAATGTTAAGAGAGAGCAAAATTATCAGAACTTGACTATAAAATAAAAGTGTTGATGAGAAATCAAGTTTTAAACAAGTGTTCAAAACTGTAAGCACAAACATATGTAGACATACAATGAATGCTATTGGAACTACAAAAGTTTTTAATCTTTAGTATATTTAAAGTCTACTTTTAATACATTCATAATCTCATCTTACTAGAGTTCTTCAGCTTACCCAAAAGATAGCAATGGTAAAACCATGTCCTTAAGCACAGTTATGGGGAAATATGAAAAATTCATACATGAATTTTCAGTATAGCCAGATTTATCACCGTAAAATAGAAACTTCTGAAATGTTAACCACTTTGCATGGAAATATTTCAGAATTTCTGTTTAAAGATATGCTAACATGTAATCTTTCTCTGAAGTTTCATGGCTACCTTTATTAAAATAAATTAAGTGTCTGTATATTACTCTGCCCAGAAGAGTTTGAAAATGGTGTGGCTTTTTGGTCATTCTTTTCCAAAGGCCAAAATGTTATTGTGAAAGAGTTCAAAAACAGAACTGGTTCACTTTTTTTCCCAAGGACTGGGAATTGATGCATAATAGGTAGCAAAATTACTTTATTACTGAGCTACCTCCCCCAAAACATCTTTTTTTAAAATTTTGAGCAAAGATTCACTAAGTTGCCCAAGCTGGCCTGTGTATCCTTCTGCCTCACTTTCTAGAGTAGCTGAAATTATGACTGGTTTATTTTTACTGTATCTTTTCTTTGTTCTTTCACTTTGTTTACTATCAGCCTTGTCTTTTGGCTGTTAAAAGTAGCATGCCAATCTCTAATAGTAAGCTGTGCAATTTGTTAAAATCAAATTTAAATTTAAAAAAAGTAGTTACTCCATATTAGGTATCATCTAGATGCTGGGGCAAATGTAACAATTATAAAATCCCTAAATAATTATAAAAATTTGGCCCTTGTCCAAAAACAACCTAGATGGCTAAGACTCAAGAATCATATGACCATCACTATGGTGGGAACCACCATTAATTTCTAACAATGGCTTAGAATTTAATTTAAAAATCAAGATATTGATATAATCAGATTTGTGTTCAGGTAAATTTTCTTTAGTGGGTATATGCCGTGGAAGTATTACCCATGAAAATAAGATCAGTTATAGAACATGAGCCTCAGTAGCTAGAACTAGGAACTACTTAAGGACATAGTATGCCCCCAACAGCTTCCAATGCACCTGTCCATTGTTAAGTTTTCATGTTAAAATGTGGGTAACTAGAAATATAGGATGTTTAATCTTGCTAACTCCCAGGGTCATACAATCTAATTAAAATATTACTATAAAAATTGTGTCGCAATGCTTTGGTTTGTATTAAAGGCGGCACTGATTAAAAACTTATAATGTTTGATAAAAATTTACAATGAATATCACATCTCCCTTCCCCTGGCAAGGTCTTTGGGCTTCAATAAATATTCTTTGGGTTCTCACATATCTCTTGGCTAATTTACTTTCATTAACTTACCAGTTTTACTCCACAAACTCTTACTTGGCAGTTTCAAAGATTTCCTTGGATTCAATAACCATGTTTTAGTCCAAAGCCCCCCGCAAAACTGCAGACTCATGTATCTATCTAAAAGCAATCATATAAAAAAAAATAAAAGGAATCATATTTGGAAGTAAAACAGGAACCTCAGATTTAATAAACAAAATGATGCACTTTACTGATGAATGAAATTTGATTTCCTTAGTTTCTCCCACCCCTTCATCCCTGTAATTAATTACTCTTTACTTCTAGATATACCAGTTATGCTTAGCTTCATCAGTTCACTGTATATTTACAAGATATTTTGGTTTTATCAAGTTTTATCTTAATGAGGTAAACATCATCCCTGAATAAATATCTCTTGTACAATTTATTTTCCACCCCCCCCCCTTTTGTTTTTTCTAACATTTCCTAGTTGAATAAATATAACACACAAAGGAATTGTGAAAAGCCTTCCAGGATTATATGTAATTATTCACATATCTATTTTTACTGAAAGATTTGGGTGCAGTAAAAGAAGCAGGAGAGCACCATTAGCACTCCTATAATTTAAACAAATTTCTCCCACTAGGCACCATCACATTCTTCCTCAATCCTCCCTGGACCAGGAAGAAGCCTTTCAGTCCTAACTACCTATTCTTCCCAAGGTTGGTATTTGCTTTGGTAACACCTCATTAGTGTGGTTCGTTTATTTTTCTGCTACCTCCTAAGCTGCGCACTTCTTGGAGGCAAGATTCACGTCCTTCCTCGTACCTCCGTTCCGTGAACCATTCATGACCTTGTACCAGATAAAGTCTGCGGGCCCAACACATGGGTAGCCCACACGGGTCTCGAAAAGCCACTTTACGGACCTCTTAAGGAAATGGGAGCCCGCATCCTAGAGACAATTCTAAAAAGCTGCCTCTGGATTGCTAGCATCAGATAGGCTTCCCACTCCTAGGCGCCACTACTTCAACACCCAAAGAATGACCTTCCCCACAGAAACCTACACAAAATCCGGCAACTCAGAAAAGCCCAGACGCATGCCGTCGCAGACCACACCCCCACCGTAAAGCGCGTTTGCCTAACAGGATATGCGCATGCGCAACAAGCAAGCGGCGCAGCGAGACTGGCAGAGGCTCTCTTAATGACGTCATCCAGGAAACGCCAGCCGAGCCCTTCTCAAGATGGCGCTGCGCGCACTGAGGAAAACGCGGGGGTGCAGGGGCGTCATCCGGGCACTTCACAAAGGATCTGAAGTTGTTCCCTCTCCCCAGGTAACTGAAGCTGAGTCTTTTACCGCCGACTTATTCCGTTTGCTTCGTCTCAATTTCCTTTCCTTCTCCCATTTATCTATTTCTGCTTCTTCGGGAGACTACCGAAATGTCTTGCTCTTTAGGTCCACAGGGACGTGGGAACGTTGCAAAGATACGTAATGACGTAAGGTATACCTTGGAGGAACGTGCAATCAGATCACGTGGTTGCGAGCGCGGCTGTTGCTGGGCAACGTAAGAAGCCAATTTGTAAGAGACCAGAGACCTTGTGGTTCTGGGATTGCTTTCCCCGTGGTTCCTTTACTATTCTTATCATCTTTTCCCTAACAACCAGCCAGGGGGGCATGAAGAAATTAGGGAAGACATTTTAGAACTGAATGGTTTAGGTTAATGCAGCCTGAAGCCCTCCCTCTGGCAGTATGTGGTTCACCTTTCACAGGTTTGCACGATTCACCCTTCGACATAGTCTCTCCAGCAGGTTTTGTGAAAAAAACGACAGTTAGCTACCAGGTGTATCATCCTGTTACCATTTTTGTTGACCTGCCCAGAGAGTAACACACTCCTTCATCCCAGGTGTATTTGGGAATTGTACTTTACTAAACCATTTCCAAGTGCAAACTTAGTAGTAACCACTTGGACATATACTACTGATTGATGTTATACGCTACATATGAAGTATGTTTGCTCTGAGAACAAAGGAGAAATTTAGAACTGATTATTAGGTAATTTCCTGACTTAGATACTAATTTCATTAGTCTGTAGATGTGACATGAGGATGTTATTTGTAAATGGTGTATTGGAAAGAGCCCTAAATAGGAAGATAGCAAACGAGGTACAGGGCTTTGACTGCCACTTACTAGCTGTGTTACATGACAAGTCACAGTCTCTCTGGGTTTATTTTCCTTTTAAGCCGGATGAAGGAAGAGTTAGGACCGACTGACATATTGATAGTATGTTAAAGTATATGCTACCGGTACCAAGGCATTTTCAAGCTTTGGAAAACGCAGGGCTTCTGGACTATGAAAGCAAAATAAAGTCAGTGAGAATAAATAAAAACTAAAATTTAAGTTCAATTTGTTTTTCTAATCCTGTAAATTACTTAATTTTCTAAACTTTTATTTTCTTCATTAATATGAGCTCCTTAATGATAAAGGCAGTATACTGAAAAGCTCTTTGTAAGCAAATACATTTTCGTATGTTATCATAAATTTAGGTAGTGCTAGGTTAGAGCTGATTCCAGTTTAGATCATCAGCTACTCTTCTTAAAGTTTGTGGGTATGAGTCTTCTGAATCAGACTTAATTTTTATAAGCTAATAGCATGTTAAAGTATACACTGCCAGTACCAAGATGAGTAAGCCATGAACTACCCATTATTGCGAACTAAAGAAAAAAGAAACAAACAAACAAACTAGAGCCTACTAAAGACTGCCCAGGGAAGTTGAAGACACTAAATCATTACAATTACTAAAGAACAAAACTTAAACCTCTTCTGTTGTTTCAGTGGCATTTATGAATAGAATTACTCTTAAAATTAATCAACTCTTAGTCTAGGTTGCTTCAATATGTACATATTAGTATTTCCAAACCTGTAATTTAGCTTTAAGTAGATTTAGAATAAAATGTGATAGATATATAGTTTCATTATCTTAATGAATAGAGCGACTTGTTCTAATGGTGTTTGTAAATAGGAT